GGGGAGCAGCTGGCCCGGGGGGGAGGGGGGGGGAGGGACATGGGACCGTGCAGGCGGGAAGGTACAGACGGCTTAGGGGCTGCAGCCTGGGATGAGACACCCTGGACCCAAGGTCTTTTCCACCCTGTGAGCTACGCTGACAATTTATCAACTTCTCCGACCCTCCTCCGTTCCTAACCTATAAAGACAGGATAATAATGCTGTCTGAGGATTGGATTGGAGCAGTTAATATACACAGATCAACTCTAGGTTCATTGCTTAGCCACACAGTAAGTTTTCAATAATGCTAACTAATGTTAACTGAAGGGACCTTATATGGAAGAGAAAGGGACCGCTCTCAACCACCTGAGGAGAAGTCACCTGGAGGCTTCTGGTTCCACAGAGGAGGGGCCTGCTACTGAGCAGATGGCCTGCGGGTGAAGGCACGGGCCTGCCAGCACGGGGAGGATGCTGCAGGGGAGTCCAGTGCCCGATGCCGAGGGACTAGGCGGCCTCTAGGGTCCCGGCTAAACTTGAGCTTCTGCGCCTCTAGGACTCACTATCCTGGGTTCCCGCGGCCGAGAGGAGGAAAGATCTGCCCCGCCACCCACACACTGAAAAGACGACGAAGCACGGGAAGACTCCTACCTCAAATCACCCGAGTCCCCTGAGATTCGCATTTATTCTCCAATCTACAAGGGGAGAAGCACAATCTGAGCAGGCTCTTAGGCAGCCTTCAAGGCTAGGTGGCTGCTGACACACCAGGATCGAGATCCTCTTTTGTACAGAGAAAAAAATGCTGAAAGACAAAGGCAGACACAGACAAAGCCCAAGAAAACGTGTGTGGTTTGCGCCACCCCACCCCCCACCCCCCTGCCCTGCACACTCCAGGCCAGGCCGCTCCCGGTGTTTCAGGGAGGGGAGACCCTGCACTCAGACTGGCTCCTCTTCTGATGCGACCTGCTTGACATGCTGTCGTCATTCCGGCCAACGAGGAAGGCAGCAAGGCCACCTCAGCACGCGTCTGCTCCCTTCCCCGCTCCCCTGACAAGAGCTGGGCGGTCAGTCTACACACATGGAAGACAGAGGGCACCAAAAAGCTCTGTGAATAAAACTTTAATAATGTACAGCAGAAATTGGACAGGCTCATTCTTATATTAAAACAAAAGATTTCCTATATTACAACTTATTTACATTTGCATACTGAAGAGGTAAAGTGTCTAAGTGGCTATTTTACAGTCCTTTCTAATAAAATGTACAAAAACAAACAGAAGTACCGAGAATGCCGTTCGGGGGCCTTGATGGCGACGTAAGAACGGGCTTTGACTTGGTCTGTGAATCCAGAATCCAGAGGTGTAGGTAGCCCTACGGATCAGGGTTAGTTAGCCCCAGGGGCCAAACACCACGGCTTTAGGCTTTAGTTTCTCCCCAACTCTCTAACTCCTAACCCTTGGTGTTAAGAGCGATGGAGACAGGAGTGGGAGCTTCCCAAAAAACTGCTCAGTCTTCCCCGAGGTGTGGTGAGGCCAGGAGGTCCCCCTGGGGAGAGGGCTAGAGGCTTGGGAGTCCCTGGGTCGAGGAGTGTTGGCAGATCCCAGAGGCTGGTTGTGACCGGGGCACAGGAGTCTAAGTTCCATTACTACCCACACCCTGCCTGGGTCTGCTGCAGAGCAGGTAGGTGGGGGGTCAGCAGGGCTGGGGAAAGAAGGTCCCCCTAATGACACCATTGGTATTCAAGGGAAATTAGTCAGTAGCCAGCAAACTGGCCCAAAGGGTGAGGCGAAGATCTCCTTTAACGCAAGGGAAGAAGCAACACATCAGGAAAATAAATAGGAAGACCGGGAGCATCTGGGAGACCCGTGTAAGCAGGGAGAGGCGTGCCCCTCCTCCACAAGCTTTGGCAGAGAATCACTGGGCTGGAGGCAGGCATGCTCTCAGGCTGCAGACATCATATGCCTCCCCTGGGGGCAGGAAGGGGGCTCAGAATGAATGCAGTAATTTAGGGTCTCACTGCCCACTGCAGGGCTCTTTGGGGGTATGGAGGGATCCTGGTCCTTGGTGGTCTTTTCTAAGAGCAATCATTCCAGGCTCAAAAGGCTCTCAGAACCAACGGTACAAACTTCTGGTCTTGAAACAGGCACCCACTAACTTGAATCGGCAACTTCTTCAGTGTTCCAAGAGTAGGACCCAAGCCTGTCTTGCTCACATACGTATTCCAAGTGCCCAGCACAGTGCCTGACACACAACAGGTACGCAGCAAACATCTGTTGAGTAAATGCCTGGAGGAGAAGGTGCAACCGGCTGGACAATGCACAAAAGGCCAGGGCCCTGAAGCAAAAACCACTCACAGAATTGAGGGGTGGGGGGCACAGTGCAAGAGAGACTAACCTCCAGGGCAAAGAGGGAGGGACTCTCGCTGCTCGGTGGGAACAGGCTCAGGTGCAAGGACAAACATTTCCAGTGTGACTGAGCTATGTGCGCTTGATTGGAGCACTTTTTTTTTTTTTTGTGGTTGTTTTGTAGCAATTTCTTTAAAAACAAAGAGGTAATCATCACATAGAGATGGTTTTCCTTTTATAAAAACTTAACAATATTAAAAAAAGTTAAAATTCAGACCCTTCCAATAAAATTAAAAACAAAGAAAAAAGAAAAGAAGAGAAAAGGAAAAAGAAAAAAGAAAAGAAAAAAAGAAAAGAAAAGAAAAGAAAAGAAAAGAAAAGAAAAGAAAAGAAAA